GAGGTTGTGAACACCAGAGGATTGAAGCTTTCTTGATCGACGTTCTGAATTCTCTCACACTACTACTACTACTACTACTACTACTACTACTACTACTACTACTACTACGACTACTACTACTACTACTATTACTACAGTAAACGTGGCCTCCAGCCTCCCCCAATAGCCACACCTTCGCCACCATTTATTTACCTTAATATTAAATATCCTAATACATAAGCAACTATCCTATCTGTGTTAAATTAGTTGAGCCGCAGATCGATGCGGCATTCGGTGACTGTAGCCTCATAGTCGATATCTGCAGCAGTTGACGGAGTAGGGGCAGAAGCTCTCGTTCCCCTGAGGCAGAGCAAAGCCGACCGAAGGAGAGAGAAGGACAGTCGACATCTCATCCAGGCTGTGACATAACTTCTGGGCTGCTGCTTCTGTTCGGAGATCAGCTCCGCGAGTCTGGCGTAGAAACATCTTGCGCTTGGGCCCATCCCACCAGAGGTTGTGAACACTAGCGGAGTGAAGCTGCCTTGATCGACATTTTGAATTCTCTCCCCATATGCCCTTCTCTTGTCGTTCTCGTTCCTCCTATGTGCAGCATCGAGAGCTAGGTTACGGTGACAAACGGCCATGGGATCAAAAATCCTGATGTCGAAGAAGGCTCGCTGTCCCCGCGTCCAGAATCCTCGAGCACTGACGTCCACACGGGCTTCGTTAGATGTGTTTGAAGTCCTGTGTTGGAGGATCTCGCCATCCAGTGGAAGGAGGGTCGGTTCTACCATGACGTCCCGGCAGGTTTCCTTCAACATATTTGCTGTGAGATCCCTTACCTCGTCATGCCTCATGCATATGAAGCCCCCCTTCTTGCAAACCATGGCGTGATCGCCATCATAGGAATAGCCACACACGCATTGGGAGGGCAAACCATCTACTGGCCAACCGTACCTTAGAGCAATGGCATCTGTAAATTCTTGTTTGTTAAGGCTGAAACCATTTGCCCTTATCGGTAACGTAGTTAACCACTACTACTACTACTACTACTACTACTACCCCTTTTTGTACTTTACTTCCACGGAAGTTCATAATATATAGACAATATTTTGCATTATACCACTGTGTCATAACCTTTGACGCCATCTCATAATAGATCGATACTCCATCAGATTACTTCAACAGACTCGCAGGTACTACACAGACAGATCACCGACATACAATCAACCTTAAGTATGAAAATGTGTGTCTTACGGTATTCGAACCCATGAATCTCTCAAACAGCTTCTAGCAATACGGCATTCCGTTTTCGATAATGTTACCGTGTGTATATTGTAATATTATCCTTGTTATTAATATTTGCCCTATTGACTCGCATATTTTTATAAAATGTCTGTACACACACACTTAGTCCAACAGTTATGAAGTGTGTCTCGAGTGTTATTTCAGTAATATTCCTTTTTATGAAACTTGATTCGAATGATATTTAATTGTTTCAGGTTTTGAACTCTGTTCAAAATAAACTGAAAAGTAGTGGGAGTAAAGTGCAAAAAGGGGGAGTAGTAGTATTAGCAGTAGCCAATGCTCTAAGGTACGGTAGGCCAGTAGAAGGTTTGCCCTCCCTATGCGTGTGTGGCTCTTCCTATGACGTTGATCACGCCATGGTGCGCAAGAAAGGGGGCTTCATATGCATGAGGCATGACGAAGTAAGGGACCTCACAGCAAATACGTTGAAGGAAATCTGCCGTGATGAGATTTTCCAACATAGGACTTCAAACACATCCAACGAAGCCCGTGTTGACGTCAGTGCTCGAGGATTCTGGATGCAGGGACAGCGAGCCTTCTTCAACAGCAGGATTTTTTATCCCATGACTGCATGTCACTGTAACTTAGCTCTCGATGCTGCACACAGGAGGAACGAGAACGACAAGATAAGGGCATACGGGGAGAGAATTCAGAACGTTGATCAAGGCAGCTTCACTCCTCTAGTGTTCACAACCTCTGGTGGGATGGGACCAAGTGCAAGATGCTTCTACGCCAGACTCGCGGAGGTGATATCCAAACAGATGCAGCAGCCCAGAAATTATGTTACAGCCTGGATGAGATGTCGACTGTCCTTCTCTCTCCTTCAGTTGGCTTTGCTCTGCCTCAGGGGAACAAGAGCATCGGCCCCAAAGCCGACAACAGTTGCAGATATTGACTATGAGGCAACAGTCACTGAATGCCGAATAGATTTGCGGCTCAACTAACTCAACACAGCTGGGATAGCTACTTGTGTATAAGGATATTTAATATTAAGGTAATAAAATGGTGGCGAAGGTGTGGCTATTGGGGGAGGCTGGAGGCCTGTTTGTCTGTGTGTCCATACGAGAATCTCGGAAACTACTTTACCGATCTGGACCAAACTTGGCATGGATAGCAAGTGTCATGTGGGGATCTCAAAAAAACTCCAACCAATCCGATCCGACACACCCAACCCGACCCGACCCAACCGACACGCCTGAGAGAACGAGAGAAAGAGAGACTAACGGTCAGCACACACGTAGAAAAGTCGTATTCCCTCCTATGATTTACAGCAATTTTGATCCTTAGGTTCTCTTTCATTATGGCTTACTTTTCTCTGCATCTAACCTCCATCCGTTACACCATACAGAGGTTGAAAAGTCGTATCCTATCCCACGTATTATAGCTAATTTTATCCTTTTGCTCTCTCATTACAGCTTACTTTTCTTTGATCTCTAACTTTTCTAGGCTGTCCATTCTAACAAGGTAGGTAGGTAGTCCTAGCGAAAGAGTGGCGTTTCTGCTAGTGAATAGTATAATGAATCCTCCCTTTAACAGACTTTGAATTTAGTCCGTTAAATGGAGGTTTCAGATAGAACAGAGATCGACCTAACGTACTATCCTCCCCTGTTTGGTCCGTATATAGAGGTTTCAGAGACGACAGAACTCTACCCTCACCTCTTTAATCCGTTATCTGGAGGTTTCACATCTAACGGACTTCAATTTACCGGACTATCCTCTCCTGTTTAGTCCGTTATCCCACTTAGTACAATTCTATTCACACGTCCACGAAAATACCGTAAACATGATGGCAAGTTATTTCGGGAAATTAAGAACCAAGCGGACTGTGAAGAGCTGCAGAAGGACCTCTGTGGGCTCCAGGAATGGTCGAAGGAATGGCTGCTGAGATTCAATGTCACGAAGTGTAAGAGGATGCACCTGGGGCGTACCAACGGTAAGGAGGCGTACCATATGTCCCAACGGGATGAAGAAAATGTACTAGTTGAGACTGTGTGTGAGAAGGACCTAGGTGTGTATGTTGACAATGAGCTGAAGTTCTCGGGCCATTGTGAGAAGAAGGTAAATCAGGCAAATAAATTATTGGGTCTTATAAGAAGGTCGTTCAGATATCTAGACGGTCCGTCCCTCGTGACGATCTTCAGGAGTGAAGTGCTTCCCCATCTGGAGTACTGTCACCCCATCTGGTCCCCGAGATATGCTAGGGACTGTCAGTTGGTTGAAAATGTTCAAAGGAGGGCCACCAAGCTGGTGCCTGCACTTCGGCACCTCAGCTACCCTGAGAGATTGGAGCACCTGAACTTGCCTAGCTTATACTACAGACGGGCAAGGGGGGACCTAGTTGAGGTTTATAAGCATCTCAGGGGGCACTACTCAGTTGAGTGTCCTTACTTGGAGCTGGCGGACGCTCGCCCCACAAGGGGTCACAGCTCAAGATTGAAGAAGCCGCAAGTCCAGAAAACCGTGAGGGCAAACTTTTTCGGAGTGAGGGTTGTAAACTCTTGGAACAATCTACCAGAGAGTGTTGTGACGGCACCGAGTGTGAGCTCTTTCAAGAGAAGACTTGACCAACACTGGAGCGGGTTCAGGTACATTCAGGAGCCAGTACATGCCCAGTATTTGCCAACAGTGCGTGACAGAGACGTGACCGATCGCCCGGGCGGCTAGCGAGCCGACCTTTTGGTGAAGAATATAAAGGAAAAGAGACGTGACCGATCGCCCAAGCGGCTAACAAGCCGATCAGTGGCGAAGAGGATAAAAGTAAAAGTAAAATACAGTTTATAAGCATCTCAGGGGGCACTACTCAGTTGAGTGTCCTTACTTGGAGCTGGCGGACGCTCGCCCCACAAGGGGTCACAGCTCAAGATTGAAGAAGCCGCAAGTCCGGAAAACCGTGAGGGCAAACTTTTTCGGAGTGAGGGTTGTAAACTCTTGGAACAATCTACCAGAGAGTGTTGTGACGGCACCGAGTGTGAGCTCTTTCAAGAGAAGACTTGACCAACACTGGAGCGGGTTCAGGTACATTCAGGAGCCGGTGCATGCCCAGTATTTGCCAACAGTGCGTGACAGAGACGTGACCGATCGCCCGGGCGGCTAGCGAGCCGACCTTTTGGTGAAGAATATAAAGGAAAAGAGACGTGACCGATCGCCCAAGCGGCTAACAAGCCGATCAGTGGCGAAGAGGATAAAAGTAAAAGTAAAATACGGTTTATAAGCATCTCAGGGGGCACTACTCAGTTGAGTGTCCTTACTTGGAGCTGGCGGACGCTCGCCCCACAAGGGGTCACAGCTCAAGATTGAAGAAGCCGCAAGTCCGGAAAACCGTGAGGGCAAACTTTTTCGGAGTGAGGGTTGTAAACTCTTGGAACAATCTACCAGAGAGTGTTGTGACGGCACCGAGTGTGAGCTCTTTCAAGAGAAGACTTGACCAACACTGGAGCGGGTTCAGGTACATTCAGGAGCCGGTGCATGCCCAGTATTTGCCAACAGTGCGTGACAGAGACGTGACCGATCGCCCAAGCGGTTAACAAGCCGATCAGTGGCGAAGAGGATAAAAGTAAAAAATAATGTCAGGGCCGGATACTCAAAGGTATTGACAATATTCTATCTTCCAATTAACTTAAAATCCATTTTTTTATTTCATTTGTAATAAACCTGATTGTGTTACTATTATATTATCTAAGTGATTTTACTGATAAGAGAGCACAGTAGAGGTAAGTTATTTAGCAGATGTGATAGAGTGACTGTTTACACTGTGTCTGTCAGGCTGCTGATGAAAGTCACTCATATAACATTACTTTATTGAGAAACCATTTGTGGAAAGTTGATCAAACGGATTAACGTGAGAAGGACAACAGCTGATGTGAAACTAAGGTAAATTGGAGTCACTTAGAAGAAATAATGAAGGTATACCCAAATTCTCTTGCTTACGTGGCATGGGGAATGTTCCATCTTCATCACATATTAAACCAGGTATCAAAGTGAGAAATTAACTTGTGGTACTGTTCCATATATGCCGTCGGTTGGTTGATTTTAGGCCATATATTAACACCACTTGTTACATTCCATACAATAACAAGTTCACTGACCTCAAGAGTCTGAAAGTATTATTGTATTTTGGAATACTTGCATAGGTCAGCCAACAACTTTGGGTAATATTCAATAAACAGTAACCACAGAATTACAGAAATTTACTGCACTCAATCAATAGAACTATTTTTTCTATGATATTTTTGTTTTAAATTAGGTTAGGTAACACATTTTTTTTTATCAGATTCTTTTCTTGCTGTAATCTGCAATTTTACCCAACTTTGTATCACCCAGATTGTAAACTAAATAAAACAAAATAAAATATACTTTATACTATGAAACATTTGTCTTTTAGCGCTGGCATAAACGGTCAATAATGGCAATACATTAGCACATTTATTTATGTTTCCATTTGACACAGTGGACTTTAACAGTGGACCGGTCACCAGTTTAACATGTATAACAGATCACCCACTTATGTTATTATATTTCTTTTGCATTATTATTATACCACAGTTGCCTCCCAAATAATGCAGAAATAATTACATAGAGAAACTGCAACATCTTTTACTATATAATGGTTACTATATGTTATATTTTTCATCCCACAATATTTATTACACTTGCTGCATGATATTGTTAATGTGGTGAAACTGAAGAACGATTAGCATCATAAAATTATCTCAATTTTGCATTTATGACAATTGTTCACTTGAACTGCCAATTGCAAAATTAGATATATTTTTTTGGTTTGCTTAAAATGGTTTAGTCATTTATGTTGTGAAGTACAGTGTAGTTTTACTTCAAACCATAGCTGGAGCCAAGCAATCCAGTTCTCACCTTCAACTTCATGATTTACTGAGCTTATATGTTACCCCCGTATAGTGGCTCGTCAGGCAGTAAACGGAGATACTGTATCTGGCTTCTTAATACCCTGTACTGTACAGTATTATAATAAAACTAATGTTAAAAACTGATTAGCTAATCCTTTAAGACCACACATTATTGGATATGTAAAGTGTATGAGGTCTACTAATATGTAGTCTCAGTTTTAATGATGAGGTTCCTGAATATATCTGGATGAGATGAGAACAGATACAGTTTTGTGAGATGTTAGGTTGTTATCTTAATGTAGGAGAACTCTTTTTACTGCATCTTTCTATGTTTGTAAAGCTATCATTAAAGGTTTAGAAGAAGACAGTTAAACTGACTCATAAATATTGTTTACAATTCAGTATACGTATACGTATATCTCGTTTAGCATTACACTGTAATTCACTTTAGCGATAAAAAATTTTTTACACCCTTTCTCACATAACGTTAGGTTCGAATTTAGTTTAACGATACTGAAGCTACGCGTGTTGCCATTGTTACATGTAATGAAACTAAAAAAGGGGGAAAATTATTACAATACTGTACAGTACTTTAATGTGCCTTAGAAATAAAGATGCTACAATATAATATAAAATGATAAAATAAGAAAAATGAAGACCATGGATGTGTATTGGAGTGAACATATGTGTGGAGGCAGTTGGCTGTAACTGTGTCGCCAGCCCGACCGCGTGACATCATGCCATACACAAAGCTCGGCATCAGCCATGTCTCTGAGTCAGCTGGGAGACTGCCTGGCTGAACTGTGTCATGTTACCCAGCGGATGGTTCAAGTGTGAAAGAAGGTTTTTTATTGTTCATTACATTTGTGCTGTTATATTTTATGATATGTTATATATCATTTTTATTGTTTAAAAGATCCAACTTGAATTTTTTTAATTATGCTCACCTTGTGCTCACTAAATTGTTTAATTTGAAATCCATTTATAGCAAACTTTTTTAAACCACAGGAGTACTGTACTGTACTCAGTGTTTACCGTCCTTCTGTGTGAACCTGTTGTTCACCCACTGTGCTTCACTGTTATCCCTCATTTTGTGATAATTTCACTTAAAATCAGGTTTTGAGGAAAGTAACCCCATCGTTAATGAGGGAGACCTGTACAGTAACTATGTAGAGGCAGAGGATTATTTTAATATTCTTATACTACCTGTGTAGCAGATATCAGTTATTTTTTAGACTTGTTAAAAATCAACTGTAACAATAGGATTATATCTTTGGCTATCTTAACAGATAAGAGGACCTTTGTACATGAAGCACTCATACAACTCCCACTTGAATTTTGATATGAGTGGTGACATCTGACTGGCTGATTGAGAGGATGAAGTGACTGATGCCTTCTGTGATTTCATCATAAAGCCAAACACAAACAAGAGGAGCAGCAATGAGTTTTGAAGCAACCGGTAAGAATTTATAGTACTGTACTCTACAGTACAGTACAGTATTTTTTTTTTTAATGTTGGAGTCAAGCTAGAAATCCCTTTTTATGACTTAACAGGTCATCAGTGGGTAACTTGAGAGACCCATACTGTAAAACACACTAATGACAAGTTAATGGCGGGATGCAGTGTCTACACTGACCGTTTTGACAATCTATCTGCTTCTAGCAACTTTTCTAACCAAATTAAACCAGAGTCAAAGATTCTCTCCTGTATGATCTAATAGTTGCCTCAAAGTCCATTAAGGGGCCAAAACTCACAGCAGACCGGTGTAATTTGAACCTCTTCTGTCATAAAAGGAAGTGCATACTCCTGCTCTCTCGGTTATTGCAAATTTCTAACCCAGAGAAGAGAGGGAAAGAAAGCAGGTGACCCAAGCCTTCCTCAAAATCATAAAATGGAATTTCATACATTAATCTGACATTTATAACTGATGGATCATCAGTGACTTGTTAGACTGAGAGCATGTGCAGAGTTCTAGTACAGCACAGTACACTAGTCCTTTTGTGACAGCACAGCTTCTTTATAACATCAGTCATTCCATGTTTGTTATTGAATCCAAATTCTGAATTAACTATGGCTCAGTGTATTTAAATATGTTTTACTTGCCAAATTAAACCCTAATATTCCCTTTAATTCTATTCCACTCCACATCATATTGTCCTGTCCTTGTCAGTACCACTACCAATGATTTTATCCTTTTTATCCTCTTCACAGAGCACCAACATGTGAGGTTCAACCCTCTCTCTGGCAACTGGGTACTTGTGTGTCCACACCGCATGAAGAGGCCATGGGCTGGCCAAGTCGAGAAACCTACTGAGGAGAATATTCCTGCCCATGACCCCATGAATCCTCTGTGTCCCAGGGTTACTCGACCAAATGGTCAGGTGTGGCTCAAGAGTACTGTTGAATGCTTCAGAGATTGTTTTAGAACCTGGAATTTTTTCATACACTAGAAATTTTTTTTAAATATTCCAGCTTCAAGGGGGTTCCCCATTATCCATCAGAGTGACTTATCCAAAAGAGGGACAAATATTGAAACGAATAATAACAGGGAATTATTCCTCTTTAGAATTAGTGCAATAAAGGATCTTACTATCCTATTTGTCACTAACATCACTCCTCTGACAAAAGAGGGTAAATTTTCTGTAGTAAGAAATAATATGATAAGGTTGGACTACATTTTAATTCTTTGTCACTTTATCCTCTGCTTAGAAATGAATGATGAATAAACCCTTTAGGATGATGTCTGACTTCTATTGGGAAAATAAAAGTTTTATGGTAATTTATCTCTGTTGGGAAGATTTGACGTTGCAGCAGATTAGTGGGTAGATTTGTAAATGTTTGGCAATTAAGTCTTTGAAGTAGATTTTTTTCAGTGTTAAATACAGCAAATGGTATCTATAAGACTGGCAAAAGTGGTAGATGTGGTGCTAATATGAATTAGTGAAAACTACATATAGTACTGTGTGTGATACTCTTTGTTGATATTGATAAGAGGAGTAATACTCTCATCCTAACAACCTAACTAACCCAACAGATCAACCCAGATTATGAGTCAACGTTTGTCTTCACCAATGACTTTCCGGCGCTATTGGAAGAGGTGCCGTCACCCCCAGAGAGCGATGACCCATTGTTCCGTGCAAGCCAAGCTCGAGGGACATGCCGGGTCATGTGCTTCCACCCTCACACAAACATTACTCTGCCACTCATGTCCCAAGAGGAAATCAGAGCTGTTGTAAATCAGTTGAGTATGATGTTCCTTGAATTACTTTTGTCTTTGTTACTGCTGGATTATTGTTAAGAATATTTATTGAAGTGCTGTAGGAACTTAATTTATGCGGGTTATAGTATTTTTGTTAATTAATCATTGTGTACACCAAATTCAGACAAATGGGAAAAAAAGAAGAGGAGTTTACTGGGTTTTCAAAACTTGCATCTTCCCCCCTAAATCTCACTACATTATGTTTAGAATAAAGTTCTTTTAAGATAGATGAACCAGACACACTACTGCACTCTATACACTTACACTATAATACTGTATACACCTCTGCATGATAATAAGTATAATTGTATGCTCTACTGTACTATACTTACTCAGCCTGGCCATCCTTTGCTGGGGCTTGTTCTGGCTAAGGGATTTAAATGGTGTAGAATGTGCATTTTTTTATTGAAGGTGCGATGCCTTTTCCTTCCATTTGGTCCCAGAAGTATATCCAGCAGGCTAAGGGGGTTTCTTGCCTGCATTTGAAACCTTTGCATGGTCCCTCAGGGATGCCAGGATATACAACTGGTGCACCTTGCCTACAGTAGTTGGTTAACTATTTATAACTTATGAGACACTGTTGGTTGTCATGAGATTTTAGTTTCTAATTTTTTGACAAGCTCGGTTGTTCTCATATTTCCTCTACAGTATTTTTTTAATTCACAATACCTTAGTGCACAGTTTATAAGGTGAAGACTACATATTTAATTTTCTTTGGTTAAGAGTATGTTAGGCATTACATAGTTTACAATATGTATATAAAGGTTTACAGTAGGTGCAGTAGTCCCTCACCAACCATAGGTGTTACAAACCTAAAATCCTATAATGTGCAGCTCAAGATTAAAAATAAGTACAGAGTGTATAGTATATTCGAAAAGAATGTTTACTATGTATTCAGCGTACGTTAAGTGGACATACATTTCCCATAAAAACCCATGTTAGATAAAGTACGTCCCAGAACATTCCCCCAATTTTTCAACAATTTGTCTCTAATAATGACAGAATGGTGAAATATGAACCAAAAAACTTAGAACAGCGAACAAGTTTCTGACCTTAAATAATCGTATCCACTTGCATGCAGCACTGGTATGGAGTATTTACACATAAGAAGAGATATTATTGCTTGGAGGCGAAAAGGCAATACTGTATTGATCAAAATAACATAACTGACGTAGTTCTGTAGTGTTGTGCAAGTGTGACAGATGTTATTACAGGTGGGTGATGGAAATGGAAGAGCTGGGCAAGAAATACATATGGGTGCAGATCTTTGAAAATAAGGGAGCTGTCATGGGCTGCTCTAATCCTCATCCACATTGTCAGGTAAATTGTGTTACAGGATTGGCATTTTCTACTCTTTTTGCAAAGCTCAATACAGAAATGAAATAAAAAAATGGACTTCAGTATATAGGAAGATGAATGTAAGTTATCTAATTAAGGTTGTGCTAATCAAGTTCCATGAAATTTTTTTTAAATAACTATGTTTATGCAAAAGATAGTGAGGAACTTATTTTAAACTGCAGAAACATTTTTTTTTTTTTTTTTTTTTTTTTACACAAGATGAATTTATGAAAGAATATGCATGCAGAACAAGTTTGTTACAAAATCTTGAAACTCTCCCTGGCATCTCTGTAACAATGTTTCATATCATTACTTTAAGCCTCAATAAGATCCCATTTTTAATCTCTATATAACTTGTGATCATTTATGCTGGGAGTTGCATTCCTAGAGCAGACTGGTACAGTGAAACAAGCACAAATGAAAATGGATTGTTATTGTATAAGGGGTTTCGGCCACAGCCCGGGTCCCCTTTTTTGCAATTTTTCTGTACTGTACAGTATTATGTTTTCAAGCATTTGCCAATAGAAATTTTATAGCTAAATACATGAAAATATCATTTGAAGGAACATTGTTGATGTGTATGCTCACCGATACTTTTAGCACTTTTTCACAAATGGTGGCAGGTCTTAGCTGTACTGTACTGACTTCTGATTTTGGCCTTTGAGTCAAATCCCTTACATTTTTTCTAGCAATCCTAGCTTTGCCTGCATTCCTCCGGCTAGCATGTTCTGGTATGTTTGACTTGTTCACTTAAGCCCTGTAGCTGGTTTACCATTTTAAAGCTTTTCAGTGTCACTAACATAGTTTCTGGAATTAACATCTTTTTAAGCTTTGTCGGGGGTACTACCAGTATACTACTTGTAGAAAAGCTTAAACTTGTATTACAGCTAAGTAAAGAGAAGAAAGGTGTACATACAACAAGCTCCAGGTGCCTTCTGGTACACAAGATGTTTTAAATTGGCCAGAATTAGTGAAATTTGGATAGTGAAAAGTAAAGTGGGGAAAGACAAAACCAGATCTTATGAAACTGGCATAAATGAGAATGTTGTTAAATGGCTTATTATCCTAAATCAGTAAGTGGTAATTTTATAACTTTTACTTGAAGATTTGGGCATCATCCTTTATGCCCAATGAGCCACACTTGAAGGACACAAACCAAAGGCAGTACTTCTTGGAGCATGGAACACCAATGCTGATGGACTATGTGGCCAGGGAGCTGGAGAAAAAGGTAAAGTTCTTTTATATATTTTTTCACTCTTGCATACTCTCTCATGCTACTGGTGCAGAATGGCAGGATCAGTGTCATCTTAGACTTTCCTCTCATTTACTGTTATGTATTTTTTTCTCTGTTACTGTATATCCTATATTTTGTTCTCTAATATCTTATCTCTTTTAGTAAGTTTATAATGAACAGATTTTTCTACATACATTAACCATTACTGTAGTATTGTACAATGTAGTGAATTTTGCTTCCCTGACATGGAAGACAAATTAACTTACAAAATGTTTCTGACCTTTAAGTTTAAATTCTTCCCATTTAAAGCCTTCTTTCTTGGAAGCTCTTTATGAATCTTACAAGAAGCTCTTTTGGATATTGTCCATAAACAAGGGGATGATATGATAAAGATGCCAGTGTGATTATGAGTATACAGTACTTGATAGAGCAGCATTTGTAGTAAATAATTAAAACTCTCGGTTGATTCTTGTTGGAGTTTTAAATGGCTAGGACTATAATAGGGTATTAAAGAGGAGTTAGTTGGTCTTCCTCCTCAGATGATTATTTCTTTGTAAGGGAAACTTTTGTCTTTCACATCGATAAAGGATATTTCATGAAGGTTTCTTTGTACAGTATTTGTAGCTCCTATTCTGGAACTGGACTTGCTGTTTATGAGGTTGGTAGACTTTAAGCTTAACCAATCAACAGTGGCTGCTTTTAGGGATTCAGCATTTTGTCTTCCATAGAAACTTCATTCTGAGTTGATGTAGAGAAATTTGGAGGTGCTATTGTCCATGGTCTTTAGCATGTGTAATTTCCTCCCCTTTCCTCCTGACCTGTGTGATATGTACACCAGTCTCTCGAGAAAGACATTGTTTACTGTGTCATCTGTCAGGACATAGGGACACTGGTTCTTTTGAAATTGGAATTTCAAAATCAATCAATCTATTTCTTTCAATCATAAAAGAACATTTTAAAATGGTAGGAAAATATAAAAAGACAGTGTAAAGGAAGATAAATATAGTATAAAATGAGAGCTGTGCATGCTAGCATCAATGACAGTCTCTACATATATAGTATTCATTTATATAATGACCAACTAGAGGCAGCCGTGCTGAGGGAAGGAGGCCTGTGGCCTGTGTAGGATTCCTCCATTGTTCTTCATAGTTATATCTAAGGCTAGCTTGAGCTAGCAGACTTTTCATAGATCTTCCACCTTCTGTATGAAGAAGTATGGAATGAGTATGGGCACATTCTGGATTAGCATGGGTGAAGGTGAATTTATACACACTTGACAAGACAGCTGTGAAGAAATTAATAAAACTGGATGGATCTCACTACTGGTCCTGTTTAGAGAATTTAATGTCAACTGGTTCATGTAACTGTATACCGTATTTTAATTAATGGTTTCTTTGTAACTTATGATGTAGAAATTAATATAGCATTTATTCCCACTTTCTAGGATCGATTGGTGGTAACAAATAGCCACTGGGTGGTAGTTGTTCCATACTGGGCAGTGTGGCCATATGAGACTATGATTCTTCCTCGGCGTCATGTTACCCGCATGACAGAACTGTCTAATGAAGAGAAAGATGGTCTGGCAGACATTGTCAAGAAGCTGACGACAAAGTACGATAATCTCTTCAAGTGCTCCTTCCCGTACTCTATGGGGTGGCATGGTGAGTAGTGTACTAGGCATTTTCACCTTATGTTTGGCTGATATCTTATTTTGAAGAGGATATATGAATTTATGACACTTGTGTGTACTGTATATATATATATATTCCACGATAAAGAGGGAGTACTTGTATATATATATATATATATATATATATATATATATATATATATATATATATATATATATATATATATATATATATATATATATATATATATATATATATATATATATATATATATATATATATATATATATATATATATATATATATATATATATATATATATATATATATATATATATATATATATATATATATATATATATATATATATATATATATATATATATATATATATATATATATATATATATATATATATATATGCATATATATATATATATATATATGTACATATATATGCATTATTTGAATGGACATTAACTTGGCGACTGTATTTCTCTATTTCTCTTAAGTATTAATTGTGTGTATGTACCATCATAAAATTAAGATGTTATTTTTACTACAACATAGGTATGTGCCTTCAAAAAGTGGAGTTTGGGGGTCGGGCCGGTTTCTATTGGAATTAATCCCATATGTTCTGTTGTTCACTTAACGCGGGACCCTCTGGGTTCAATTGACCGCGTTAAGTGGGGTACAACTGTGTATATATATATATATATATATATATATATATATATATATATATATATATATATATATATATATATATATATATATATATATATATATATATATATATATATATATATATATATATATATATATATATATATATATATGCATATATATATCATATATATATATATATATATATATATATATATATATATATATATATATATATATATATATATATATATATATATGTATATATATATATATATATATATATATATATATATATATATATATATATATATATATATATATATATATATATATATATATATATATATATATATATATATATATATATATATATATATATATATATATATATATATATATATATATATATATATATACAGTGACCCCTCGTTTAACGAACACCTCGGTTAACGTAATTTCGATTAACGAACTGCCTTCCATAAGGATCTTCAATTCGTTTAACGAAAAAAATTTCGCTTAACGAACTTCTTACGAACCGACCTCAACATGTTTTCGCTTGCACTGACCGGGCAACCAGCTTTAGTATCAGTCCGCCAATACATTAATCGGTTCTAGGGCTTAAATTCCTTACTATTTTAGTAAATATCAAGAAGTTTATATTATTCAATAATTTTAAAAGTTTAATATTCAATTTTTAGTCATTTTAACAATTATTGAACATAATTGAAGGCAAAGTGACTAGTTTAATGCGCGGCATCCAGCCTCTTAACACAGCAAACAGGCATTAGTCTCTGTTTTCACTGGAGGTAACATCTTGCTTGAGACTCTCTTCAACTAAATGCTTTTTTTCTGTGTTTCCAAGCAAATTATTGGTAATTTTGAAATATATTTTACATATTGACAATATATAATGCAGTGCAGTGTTGATTTAAAGAAAATAATCTTGAAATACACCAAGAGAACTAAAATTTTATGGGTGAAATGGTGCCATGGGGTGACTTCTCTTCCACCCCAATGCCTTCTCTTCTTCCTTCTCCACCCCCATTCTAATTCCCATCATCATCATCATCATCATCCAGGCGCCTTCTTCATACACACCTCAAAGTAAGTAAACTTTTCTACCATTTTTGTTGAATTTAGGCAATTTTCGGTGAGCTGGAACCAATTACCCAAAAACCCATTGGAAACAATGGTTTCAAGAACGAATCCAAGTTAACGACCTTCTGAACGGATTGAGTTCCGTTAACTTTATATATATATATATATATATATATATATATATATATATATATATATATATATATATATATATATATATATATATATATATATATGCATATATATATATATATATATATATATATATATATATATATATATATATATATATATATATATATATATATATATATATATATATTTATTTT